GCCACCGGCAGCATCAGTTCCGTTAGAGGCGCCGGCGGCGCCCTTGGCTGCGACGCACATGGCGGCGATGGTCCTGGTGAGGGCGGCCTCAAAGACGGTGAACTTGACCTCGGGCGCCTCGGCAACGGTGGCGGCGTAGGCCTTCTTGACGGCGGACTCGAGGGCAGGGACGAACTTGTAGCCCGCGTATGCGCCGCCAGTGGTCTCCTTGATGGCCTTGTCGAAGGCGGACTCGAAGACGGTGAACTTGTCGTTGACGGGGGCAGCGTCGGCGGCGGTGGCGGCAATCCTGAAGGCGGTGTCGATCTGGTTGACGGCCTGCATCTCGGCGGCGGGGATGGGGCCCTTGACCTCCTCGGTGGCGGGCTTGACGCCGTGGATCTCGAGGGTGCCGGCGATGATGCGGAGGGACTCGCTGAGGATGGCGATGAAGGAGTCGTACTTGGCCTCGGGGGTGGCGCCGTCGGCGGAGTCGTAGGCGAGCTTCTGGGCCATGCCGATCTTGGCGGTGAAAGTTGAGGCGTTGGACCCCTTGAAGACGTCCGCTATAGCCCTGTCCACGTCCGGGATGTAGGTGTCGGTGAACTTCTTGTACTTGTCCGGCCCAGGGACGACGGCGGCGGCCGCCACGGCCGCCTTGAAGGCGTTGTTCACCTGCTCCATCACATTCTGCTCCTCGGTCGTCGCCTTGGGCTGCGTCCCAGCTGGCCCTTTAGGGGCGTAGCCGCCGGCAGGGGTGGCGGGGGCAGGGGAGGCGGGGGCCGGGGTGGCGGGGCCGTAGCCGGCAGTGGCAGGGGTGGCGGGGGCCGGGGTGGCGGGGGCGTAGCCGGCATCGGCGGCGTAGGAGACGGCTGGCCCCGCCACAAGGGCGACGGCCAGGAAGAGCGCCACCGTGCGCTGCTGCTGCACCGCCATTGCTGCTTCTCTTGCGATTGCGATTGCGATATCGATGCTTGGTTCCTTGGTTGGAGGAGAGGATGGATGGATCAAGATTCATGGAGGTGGCTCTCCTTATATACCTGCCAGCTGCATGAATCAAGGAGAGGGGAGGGTGAGAGGCCACGAGAGATTTACGCGCCATGCCCAAATTAGCCACTCCTTTTTAAAGGTGTACCTGCTCTGCTCCCTCGATCGGTCACCAAATAGATGGCCTATAAATTAAGTCAAAAGTCAATGCTTTCTATGTTTGTCCACTAATATACTCCCTTCGTACTTTAGTGATCTATAAACGCTTTAATATTAGTATATAAAGGGAGTACTTATTAAAAATATGGAGATTATTGTTGTCCTCTCGCCGTTACAAGCACACGGGATGTTGGGGCCGGTGGACTAAGATGTTGAAACCGACGTGACGCCGAGCTACAACAGGCGCACGGAAAAAGAATGGCGTGGCGGTCTTGGGACCACCGGACGCCAATGCTGGAACTAGTGTGTAGTGGTGTTGGGATCAGCATGACGACAAGTTAGTTACAACGGCATGCGGATGTTGCAACGGTGGGAGGCTGTGTTGGGACTGGCACCCGGCAATGTTGTGACAGGTGTAGTGTGGAGCTGCAACGGCGAGATGTGGCGGCGGCCGCGCTCATGCAAGCAATGGTGCACCGAGCTATGACCAGTGATAGGAGGTGCTACAAGTAGTATAATGTGCTGCTGCGACGGTGCTGGGAGGTGCCAACGAAGAGTTGTGACTGACTAAGTTATGGATTAGGGGGTGCTCGGTATGTCGGTTGCCAGTCCTTTGGGCTGGGCCAAGGACACCAACCGCCCCTCTAACCTCATCAACTGGTGGACCTCGTTCATTTGGTGTAAGAATGATGGGAAGGAATGGTCAAAAACTTGATGTGTACCCCAAGATTCCAAGGTAGATTGCCAAGTATTTGCCAACCGACTTATTTGTAACCCTAGGTACCTCGGTATCTATACAATGAGGCCTTAATTACCATTGGATTTCCTTATGTACCCCGCTGTCACAGGAGGGTAGGACAAAATATGTCATGCAAGTTTTTATTATAAGCATGTATGACTATATACGAAATACATGCCTACATTGAATTGATGAATTGGAGCTATTGTGTATCACTCTAGGTTCTGACTGTTGTATGATGAATGTCATCCATACAAATAAACATCGCTGATCCAATGCCTACGCTTTGCTCATATTGTCTTTGCTAAGTTACTACTACAGTTGTTGCTACTGTTACAATTGCTACAAAACTGCTATCGTCAATGTTACCTTTACCGCTATTATCAAAATATCACACTACTGTGCTACTAAACACTTTACTGCAGAGAATAACTTTCCAAGCGTGGTTGAATTGACAACTCAACTGCTAAAGACTCATAAATGTTATTTGGGCCCCCTTTGTGTTGAATCAATAAATTTGGAGAAATGCTACCCTCGAAGACTGTTGCGATCCCTATACTTGTGGGTGGGTCATCTATCTTCATCTTGAGAAACAATTAGTGCATTCATACTGATGGGGCTGCTCTCTAGTGTTTGTTATCTAGATGCAATATTATTCTCTTCACATTTACATCTTAGAGCATCTCCAGCCGCGCCCCCAACAGGCCCTCCCTAGGCGTTTTTGCCGCGCCGGCACCCAAAAATCGGCCCAATCGCGCCCCCAGGAGCCCTTTTTCGCCGGTTTGGGCCGAAACTGACGCCGGTAGACCCAGGCCAAACCCGGCGCGCTGGGGGCGCCCGGGGACGCCGGGGCGAACGGTTTTGGCGCGAAAGAGCCACGGGCCAGCCGCGTCAGCAAGACGACGCCTCGTCTTCCCCAGAGCGCCTCGATTTCCTGCGGGGAATCAATGGCAAGGCTGCCGCCGGTCAGCCTTCCACTGATTCCTCACGAGACGGCGCGTCACGGCGGCGTGGCGATGCCTCCCCTCCCGCCACGCGTACACACGGCGCGGGCTATAAAGACCCGCCGCTCCCCCTCGCCGCTGGCCACACCAGCCCGAGCCCAAACCAGCCGCCGCTGAGCTCTGCTCTTTCCCGTCCGCGCCGCCGAGCTCTATCTCCCCCGTCCTCCCCTTCCCTCCTTCCCTCTGCAGTGATGGCCGGACGCTTCCCTGGCGACGCCGCGGTAGCCAACGGCTTCGGCCGCCGCTCGCTCCAGTCGTCAGAAGCATGGCTTCTATTCGAGGCCAACATCCCGGCGCCGCCGGACATGCGCGCCGGGCCAACGGGGTGGAGGCTCAGCAGCGGCAGCGTCCCCATCCCCCCGGTGCCTGATGTCGACGCGCGCCCTGACATCTACGCCGCCGAGGTCGACCGCGTGCGGTCGTCCCTGACTGACGAGAAGCGCACCCTCCCCCAGTACGCCGCCAACAACCACGCGGCGTGGGCGGAGTATTTCCAGCGGCGGCAGGCACAGCGGATGGCGTCCACGAACGGGGCGCCGGTCGTGGGGGGCCTCAAGAACAGCGACGGCCGCCACCTCTGGTGGGGCGTCACCGGCCGCACATTGCACGGGGTACTGGAGTACCTCGAGGGCGGCAACAACCCGCCGCTGGCATACCCTGCCGCGGCGCCGGTCCCCCCCCCTGCTGGAGCACTGGGCCGTGGGTCACCAGGAGGTTTGGCTCTTCCTCCGCGTGCGGTCGTCCCTGACTGACGAGCAGCGCGCCCTCCCCCAGTACACCGCGGACAACCACGCGGCATGGG